CTCTCATATTTTATTTAGAGACAGGGTCTCACTGAGTTGCTTAGCACCTGGCTTTTGCTGAGGCTGGTTTGAACTCATGATCCTTCTGCCTTAGCCTCCTGAGCCACTGGGATTACAGGCATGTGCCCCCATGCCTAGCCTAACAGCSTTTAATGTGAGAGCTGAATGGATTTTGCTCAGGATTTCAGCTAATTTTTGTGAGTTTAGCAATAGCATCAATCTCCCAGTGTTTTGGAGCAACAATTTAAACACCTTTACCATCACCTGGGAATACTCAAGGCCCTGGCTTGGGTTCAGGCCTGCAGGGAAAATATGATGTCAGAGCATCAAGGTGCTCTGTATTTCTCAGCTAGGACTCAGAAAGCCAGGTGGAAGGAGGACTGTGTAAACATAATATGGCAATTCTGGAGATCAGATTTCATTCCTCTCTCTAGGTTTTGTTACTGCTGCTGTGGTAGCTGTGTTTATTTTTTTAATAATTTTTTTTAGTTATATATGGACACAATATCTTTATTTTGTTTATTTATTTTTATGTGGTGCTGAGGATTGAACCCAGAGCCTCACATRTGCGAGGCAAGCGCTCTACTACTGAGCCACAACCCCAGCCCAGTAGTTGTGTTTATTTAGTGATCTTTCTGAACTAATTCTCTCAAGCCTGAGTTGTCATGTGTGGCTACTAAAGTCTCTCCTTAGTGTTCAGCTAATCATTGGACAGAGAGTTCCTTAATCACCTGGAAACAATGAATTTCCCTTTCCTTCCTAAGTGGCTTTGCGATATAGCATGACTCCAGCACTCAGCAGACAGCATGCTACYCTGCCTGAGCATTTACTTTCCTCTACCAGGAGCCCCAATGTCAGCCAGATGTGAGATCTCAGGGCTTTTCAGGTTTTTCCTCAGACCCCAGTCCTACTTATGTGACCTATATTCCTGGAAGTATGTTGGATTTTCTAAGCCCCTGTGAACATATCTGTACCCTTGCTTTTTCCTGTTAAGTTTTTTGTTTAATTTATTGTGAACTCCAGCTGTTATCCATCACCTTGGGTAATTGCAAAGTTACATTTGTCCACTAACAACCCCAGGAAGCTGTTTGTGCTGGGTTGGTGCTCAGTGAGCCTTGTAAGTGGGGCCTTCCAGAAATCCATCAGACAAGTAAAATAATGACAGTTCTCTGAGAATGGGGCATTCTGTTCCCTCCAGTAACAGGGATGTGAGGTCTTAGTTCCAACGTTGCCACTGTGAGCACAGCTGGACCAGGAAAACTACCAAGGTAACTTTTTGTTGCTGGTCGTCTGTTTTCTTGAATACACACTCTCTGGGATGCTGGGGGTAGGGGAGCCTTTGGTTAATTTCTGGAATTCTGAAAAAGCTGATTCAGACAGCTTATGCTAGTTTTTTGCCTTGCTTTTATACGGGGAGAAGGACAACTTCAGCTGACGATTKTTTCCCGAGGGACCCTTGGTCATTCTGCTGGTAACTCCTGCACTTGCTGGGGCACAGTAGCAGAACAAGTACAGGAGCAGCCAAGGRCGCACGCGTGGGCGTTGACCCCAGGCCTCTGCCTCGCGCTGCGCCCGCCGCTTCCAGGCGGGGGCCAGCCTGAGGCCCGCGCGGAGCTGCCTTGGCAAGCTCGGTCCACGGGAATACTCTTAAACCCGCCGGCGTCTCCGGATCCACAAGGTGCGGCAGCGGAAGGGGGCGGGGTCCCAGTGGAAATCCGGCGTGGTGTTGACCACGGGAGACCCCGGRGTCCGCCCAATCCCCGGTTTCCACGGCAACCAGAGGACCGCCAGGAGGTGGGGCCCAGCCCCTGACTGACAGCTCTTGGCCCCGCCCCCCAGCCCCGCTCTCGCGCGGTTTGAGCTCGCGTGGCGCCGCAGGGGCCGACGGGAGCGTCAGCCGCGCTGAAGGGGGCCGACATGGCGGCGGCGGCGGCGGCTTCGCTTCGCGGGGCGGTGATGGGCCCTCGGGGCGCGGGCCTCCCGGGCGCACATGCTCGGAGGCTGCTAGGCGGCGCACGGCCTGGGCAGCTCCCCCTGCGGACGCCTCAGGTGAGCGCTGGCCCGGGTCCTGGCCCTCGCGCGCCCCGCAGCCGGTGAAGGTCACGGCGGGGAGGCTCCGGGCGCGCGCGGCCAGCGGGGCGAGATGGGCCCGCACGCAACGTCCCCCTGGGGCCAGGTCCTTGCTGCCGGTCGGCACAGTCCGGGAGCTTTGCGCACGCTTCGGAGCGGCAGGGCGCCTCGGACCTGGCACGGGGGTGGCGGGCGGGCTCGCGAGGGTCGGGGCAGGGGTCTTCGTGCTCAGGGCGTGCCTGGGACGGCTCCCGCCGCACGCTGTCCAGACTGGGCCCGCGTCCTGAAGTAACCTCTAGCCTGACCTCGGCAGCTGCCGGTGACCTTGGTCACTACGGCCTGACCCCCGGCTCAGGATCCAAGAGCACTCCTCACCACCTCCTCAGAGTCAAATCCCGGCCCAGGGGTCGGCAGCGGAGAGGGATGCGGTGGGCAGCGCGCAGGCCATGATGCTGGTGCGCCAGTACTGGGTGGATGAGTGGGAGAGGTGGGCGCCTAGTCAGATCCCCAGCCCGGCGGGTGGTGTCCTGGCAGGCGCTGAGCGGGGCTCTTGCAGGCAGTATCCTTGTCCTCGAAGTCTGGCCTTTCCCGCGGGCGGAAGGTGATGCTGTCAGCGCTGGGCATGCTGGCGGCGGGTAGTGCAGGGCTGGCAGTGGCTCTGCATTCTGCTGTGAATGCCAGTGACCTGGAGCTGCACCCCCCCAGCTAYCCGTGGTCTCACCGTGGCCTCCTCTCTTCCTTGGACCACACCAGGTGCGCAGCTGGCCGGCTTGCTGGCCTGGGGTTTTCTGGGTGGAGTGGAATCTTCAGTTCCCTTAAAACTTTCTCTCTTTTTAGCATCCGGAGGGGTTTCCAGGTATATAAGCAGGTGTGCTCTTCCTGCCACAGCATGGACTACGTGGCTTACCGCCACCTGGTGGGCGTGTGCTACACTGAGGATGAAGCTAAGGCCCTAGCTGAAGAGGTGTGGAACCTGGAGTGTTCAGGGTTGGGGCTCCCACTGTGATGTGATGGCAGGGTTGTAATGAGGCTCTTGGTGGCAGGTGGAGGTCCAGGATGGCCCCAATGAGGATGGAGAGATGTTCATGCGGCCAGGGAAGCTGTCTGACTACTTCCCCAAACCGTACCCCAACCCTGAGGCTGCCAGGGCTGCCAATAATGGAGCCTTGCCCCCTGACCTCAGTTATATCATTCGAGCTAGGTAAAGGGGCTGCCCACAGGGTGGAACTGGAGAGGGGAACTGACTTCTGTCAGGGACTAAGAAGCCATGAATCTGGTTCCAGGCATGGTGGTGAGGACTATGTCTTCTCCTTGCTCACGGGGTACTGTGAGCCACCCACTGGTGTGTCTCTACGAGAAGGCCTCTATTTCAACCCCTACTTCCCTGGCCAGGCCATCGCCATGGCCCCTCCCATCTATACCGATGTTTTGGAGTTTGATGATGGTGAGAGTCCTTCACTGTGAATCCTTTCCCATCCCCCAGGGATGCTTGCCTTATATTTCTGGGCCTGAGAAATCCTGCCCCTTTCTTGGCTGGGGTGTTTTGTGCATGCATGAGGAGATTTTCACAGTCTTGTGGGGGTCCTGTCCCTTTGAAACCTTGGGTAGAGGTCATTCTCTACCTCCATGGAACAGAGTGCATTGAGGGTTACCCCAGGTTGGGCATGAGCCCCAAAAGGTAATTTTCATTATGTGTCCTTGGCCCAGGTACTCCAGCTACCATGTCCCAGGTAGCTAAGGATGTGTGTACTTTCCTGCGCTGGGCATCTGAGCCAGAACATGACCATCGCAAACGCATGGGACTCAAGGTGAAGGGTTGGGCAAGGGGGCTACAGTGAGTATGGGAGAACGGTTGGGAAGGATCCTTCCTAGCCCCCTTTTCTGAGCCTGTTTTGTCCCCAGATGTTGATGATGATGGGCTTGCTGCTGCCTTTGATCTACGCCATGAAGCGGCATAAGTGGTCAGTCCTGAAGAGTCGAAAGCTGGCATATAGGCCACCCAAGTGACCCTGTCCAGCATCYACTTGCCATCTTGCCTGAACAGACCCTCAAGCCCAGGAGCCATCCTAGGCCTGTTCAGGCCTTACCTGGCTCACTCGGCCCGGCCCCTCTTCGTCTGGGATGAGGGAGTGGGCAGGATACTGGGCCTTGGCTCCAGATTTCGTTTAGCCTCATCATGGGAATAAATTAAGTTTCTCAACATACACATTTGAACTTTTATCTGACAAGAGTGTAGTCTTGCAAAGGACTCTGGGACTGAGACTCACACCTTCAGCGCTCCCAGGAAGTCCCAGTCCTGTCCTCATCTGGGACAGAAAGGGTACAGGCTRTGAGAGGAAGTAGTAGCACTTAGTAGGTTGTCTCCTGAACAGGGATGAAAAAGATTTGGCCAGGTTGGCTATGGCCCAGAATCTCAGAGACCTGCTGGGAGGAACTACTGAGTGTCAGGTTGTTGGTTACTTCAAGAGGGTCAGGGAGCCTTTGGCAAGGCCTGGAGTGGCTAGGCCAAGAAGAGGGGGATGGCTGCCAGCCATATTGGTAAATCAGTAGACAGGCAGAAGAGGGTACCTGGGACATCCCCTTGCTCTCAGCTGGAATGCCGAGTGTCACACTGAGGATTCATGTGGAGGTATGAGGGTATTCATCATGGAATGGCATCTGGCAGCCCACAGGAGAGCCGAGTGGGCTCATGTAGTCCTGTACCTGTACCTGTGGCAGGAAGGTCAAGGCATCATGAACCAGCAGTAGCACAATACCCTGACTTGGGACTCCCAGTGCTTGAGCTTCCCTGTCCCTAAGTGGGGAGGGAAAACACCCATGTTGGTGTTATCTTGGCTGGAGGGAGTGGTGGCCAGAGTCTGGGAGCCAGGATAAAGAGCAGAAGGCAAGACCAGCAGTAGGGGTAGAGCTTATAGGATTTGCCTTAGTGCATGGAGCCCCCAGCGACCCTATCCCAGTGTTCAGCAGCTAGGAGAACCCCTGAAGATCTGGGGGGCTTGGGAAGAGGTCTAAGTGCCAAGATCCTATGATTAGCAGATACCTGGACTGACTAATGAGGGCCAGGTTCGGTCTTGTCTTCTCCCAGCAGCCTTGGATAGGCTGGGGCAGCTCTGCACCGAGACACAGTGAAGGGACACTGGGACTTTTAATTTTTTTTAGTTGTATTTGGACACAATACCTTTATTTATTTATTTATTTATTTATTTATTTATTTATTTATTTATTTATTTATATGTTGTGCTGAGGATCAAACCCAGGGCCTCCGTGCTAGGTAAGCGTTCTATCGCTGAGCCACAATCCCAGCCCCTTTTGAGTCTAACTTATAGCTCTTCCCTGCAACCCTCTTGTCTGTCCCCAGTGAGCAGCCAGCAGAAGTCTCCTGAGATCAGGTGATGRTCCAGGCATTCAGGCCTTCAAGGAAAGGGCCATGTTCTGTAAGGGGGGGGCGGGGGAGAAGAGACAGATCATTCCTGCTTGTTCTATACTGTGTGTACCCCCCTCCTCCAGTCACCCCACCTCCTGTACCTTTGGTGGCTACTGGGTAGACGATGTAGGAAGGGGGTCCCAGGTGCAAGGCCTCTGGGTGCTACACATCTCACAGCCAGGGCGATTTGGGGCATTGATGAAGGTACAGGAAGGACAGGACCAGCCAGGCTAGGGAGGTGAAAGACCATTGCTGTTTCTTCACTTCTAGTGTGCCTAGCCAGTCCCTGCCCACTGCCCACTCATGCCCATTGCCCACCTGAAGGGGGCCGGGGAGGCTGGAACTGGCTGGCTGCAGGGCACGGGACAGCCCCAATGACTGAGGAAAGAACCGTCCTAGTTCCCCTTCCATCTTCTGCAAGCGTTGAGGGCTGCATCCTGTGGCAGAGGACAGGGGCTTAGGACTATCTTGGGCTGCTCCCCACCTCCCTCACCTACCCCCATCAAGGACCAACCTGGGGCTTCTTGGGGAGTGGAGAGCAGATAGAGGAAAGCAGGGTCCCCATCTTGCTGGACCCCATAGGAAGCAAGGCTGCGCTCAGGCACACACAGCCACCTCCCAATGACCCAGCGTTGCACAGCAGGTGGGAAACCGAACTCTGAGAACACCTAGGGTCAGAGCATCAGGGCTGGGGAGTGTCACCCAGGATCACCCACCACCACTACAGGGCTCTCTGGACCCCATGCTCACCTGTTCCTGGAGAGCTGAGATGGTACAGTGAGCATGGACCTGCAGTGAGATGTGGGCCGAGGATGCAGCGGATGTGGCATCTTCAACTGTGACCTGCAGCCTGGGTCAGAATGTAGGTCAGAGGTTGTTTGGGGAACCTGAGAAGATCAGCCGGGCAAGATGAGGATCAGGCCTCACCTGATGGGACCAGGCGGGAAGCAGGCCTTCTGGAGCTGGACACTGAGGGCCACGTGACGCTGGGCCAGGATTGCTGCTATTTGGGCTGCCCCCTTCTCGTCCCCACCTGCAATGGCCTGGGCCAGAAGCCCAGTCAGCTCTTCTAAAGGGAGGATAGCTGTCAAAATCACACCAGCCACTTCCTTCAGACCCCTCTGGCTGGCTGTCCTTACCTTTCTCCATCAAGTCTCCAGGGCTCTGAAGATCCACCTCAGGTTGGGGCACTTTGAGTGTTGGGACCACAGGGGGACTGGGTGAGGAAACAGGACATGTTTCTGGGCCCAGGGCTAGGAGCGGGCTGCCACTGCCTAGGAGGGAAAATGTGGAGTGGTTGTTGGCCCCTGCCCAAGCCTCTCTGCCCTGGAGTTTCTAGGACCTTTGTCTTTTTCCTCATCACAGCCCATGTCAGGYCCCACCTCCCTAGCTTGCCCTTAAAAACCCCTGAGAGGTCCCTGCTCAGGGCCCCTCCCCCTGCCTGACTTGTTGGAACTGCCCTGGATTCCTGTTGGGGACCTGGAGTCTTTCTGAACTCTTCTGTTGCCTGTCCTGCTGGTGCCCTTCCTCCACACAGCAGGTCCTCAGACAGGGGCCTTCCCTCTCCTGGCTAGCCCTTGTGCACAGAACACACTGGCCTTTCAAGGATGATGGTAAAGATACATAGTTGGACATAACTGCTCTCTTCCTTCTTACCTCCCACTTGAGGCTAGCTCCCTGCAATGGATGTGGGGGGGTTCTCAGCCAGTGCTGACACAGCTTCTTTGATGACCTCAGGCCCTTGACTTCTTGAACTGTTTATCCCACTAAAATAAGTAGAGTCCTCCAAGCACCCAGCCCTRTGCCTGTGTCTTGAGGGTTGCTTGCATATGTTCCCCTCAGGGCTTTTGTATTTGCTGCTCCTAAGACCACAAGGCTCATGCTATGACCTTCAAATTCTTTTTTTTTTCCATTCAACAAATGTTTATTGTGCATCTAATAATATATATGAGGTACTGGGAATTCAGAGGTGGATAAGATATTCTCAGGCATTTCTGTATAGAACATATATTGTAAAGAAAGAGATAGTATTAAATAGATGATCATACAAATAACTACAATCTCTAGAGCTGGGTATATAGTAACTGTATAAATTAATGTTCGATTAATTGACTAATTAATGAACACAGTCCAACCCACTTCTTAGATAYGACATCTTCAAATTCTACTCAATTGTCACCCTTTCAAGGGGGCCTTCCTTGCCACCTCTGTTTACTCCAGTCCTTTCATTTATTTTGAAATAGRGTCCCACTATTTCAAAATAAATGAAATACTGCTTAGGCTGGCCTTGAACTTGTCATCCTCCTTTGTCAGCCTCCCACATCACTGGGATTATTCTGCACCTGGTCCTGTCACCCTACTTTAAATAGTGTTCCCTCCCTCCTAGCTCCAGCACTGACTCTCTCCACTGTCTCTTCACATGTCTCCCATGTAGAAATGCAGCCTCCAAGAGGGTGGAGGTTTATTCATGTTAAATAAGTGTCCAGTACAGAGCAGGCACTGAGTACACATACTGATGAATGAATGACTGAAAAGTGCTGTCTCCCTTTTCCAAAGCTGACTTGCCAGGGCCTCTTATGAATAACACTGTCTGGCTGTCTTCCTCTATACCATTTGTGGTTTCTCTTTTCTTTCCCTAAGGCAATCTCTGCATGCCAGCCCTCTTCTCTTTAAGGTTCTTTATTAGTGACTTGGTTGACCTATCTAGAGCCCCAGCTCCAGCCAAGATGTTTTAAGAACCCAGAACATCCGGGCTGGRGCTATAGCYAAGTGGTAGAACACTTGCTCTGAAAGTGTGAGATCCTGGGTTTTATCCTCAGCACCGCATAAAAATAAATAAATAAAGATATTGTGTCCATCTACAACTAAAATAATAATAATAATAATAATAATAATAATAATAATAAAGAACCCAGAACATCCATGCCCTCTTAAATAGGCCCTGTCTAGGAGCCCTGCACTACCTGGCCCCTGGTTTCAGCCTTTTTTTTTTTTTTAGTTGTACATGGACAGCATGCCTTTGTTTATTTTTTAACTTAATCTTTACATATAGGTGGACACAATGTCTTTATTTTACTTTATGTGGTGCTGAGGATGGAATCCAGTGCCTCAGGAATGCCAGACAAGTGTCTACCTCTGAGCCACAACCCCAGACCCTATTTGTTTCATTTTTATGTGGTGCTAAGGATCCAACCTAGTGTCACACACGCTAGGCAAGCACTCTGCCTCTGAGCTATAGCCCCAGCCCCCATGTTCCAGTCTTGAACTCTTTTATTTAAATGACCATGAAACTTAGCTAATTCCATCTCCTAAAACTCTCTGGAATCATCCTCTCCTGTCCTTTACACAAACCCATCCTACTGCAGAAGTTTCAATCTGAGCCTGTCACTCTGCTAAATACCACTATTGCTCTTGAACTCACTAGGGTCCTGCAGTCCTACTTGCTCTTCTTTCCACCCTAGTCTATCCAGGCTCCAGCTCTTCAGCCTTTTCTTCCTCCTGAGCGCCTTTCGAGGCCCCTAGCTTTTCCCATCACTGTCCCCACCCAGTCCTGGGGGGACAGAGCTACTCCATACTTCATTCCAGGGCACTGACCATTCTGTCCCTCTGCGGTGGCACCTCGCAGCAAGGCTGCCCACTGCTGAGCTTCCTGAGTGTTGAGGAAGCGCAGACTGAGAGTTCCGGGCCCTCCTGGTGGAGGCTGCAACTCATGTTGACTGGGGCCGCGGATGGTATAGGAGATTGACTCCAAGGGCCACTCCAGACTGACCTGTGGAGTAGGAGAGTCCAGGATCAGTGGATTCCCACCCTGAACCACATGCTAATCAAAGAAAGACAAGAAAACATTTGTAGATCACTTACGCGGTCCTAACACCCTTTCCACCTGTTATCTTACCAAATCCTCACAACAGTTTGTAAGGTAGGAACCAGCGCCATCCCCATTTTACAGACCAGAAGGCAACCAAACCAAGAAAAGTAACGGCTTAAGGGCACGCTGCGGGCTAGCGGAGGCGCCCGGTCTTGGGCTCCAGCCCCGGTCCGCACTCACCGCTCCGGGCCCCGCGCCTCGCAGCTCCAGTCGGAAACGCCCGGGCCTTTCGGGATCCGCGCTCAGCTGCAGCCTCCGCAGCTGCGCCTCTGCGTTGGGCCCGGCGCCCAGCGGTCTCACCGCGGCGTGCACAGCCAGGAGCACTGCGGCTGATCCCGGGTCGGCGGCCGCCGCCCCGCCCGCCGGCGGCGCCATCTCCTGTCCCGGCGGGTCAAGGTCTTCCGAGCCGACTTCCGTGAGATCGCGCTGCGGAGCGCCTCCGCCGGCCAGAAACTCAAATCGTGAGCCTGGGTTCCGGGGGCGGCAGATCGTCAGGGCCCAGGAGGGATGCAGGGCAGCGCTGCTGCCGAGCCTGATCCGCCTGCCGTGCCGAGGGATGGACACGGCCCGAGGGCCTCCGGACACTCCGGCCGCGGCCGTCACGTTTGAGCCGGGTCTCGGGGGCAAAGTGTCAGGCTCTGAAGCGCGGCCTGGCTCGGGCTTTTGGCCTCAAAAGCTCGGGTGAGGGTAGGCTACAGCCTGGCCCGAAACGTTCTTGAGACAGGATGGAGAAGGGAGGCAAGTCCGCGGCACTTCCCAGTAGCCCGGGTCAGCGGGCCACCGCCCCTTGTAACCTCAGCCCCGCCACGCCCACACTGCGCGCTCCACAGGCCCGCGCCGCTCCAGGAACCAGGGCGGACCCCTGGGGCGGGGCAGGCGGGCTCCTGACCAATGAGCGCCGGGGAGGAGGTGGGTTAGTACGCGGGACAGTGACAGACAGGCCCCACGGCCAGCAGGAGTGGAAATCAGGACTGAGCGGCAGGGACCGCCCCCAATGGCTAGTTGCGCTCCCGATCTCCGAAGCTGGAGCGGGCCACTCAGAAGCGTGGGGCCGGGCCTGGCGGACGCTTGTTGTTGTCCGGAGGCGGAGGTCGCAGGTTCGCTCGCTCGCTGGGTCGATCTGTGGCGGTCGACAGCAGGTCGGTCGCGAGAGCGGGCTCTGTGCAGGGGGGCGAGGCTATGTCGCGGTGGCAACCCGGATGGGCCGGCAGGGCCGGGAGTAACGGGACGTCGCCGCGGAGCTTCTCCCAGATACAGTGCGACCCGAGTGGAGGCCGCGGCGCCGCTTTCCGCCCCTGAGGAGGCCGCACCGCGCGGAGTCCGCCTTGCTTTCGCCCCAGTACCGACGAAAAGCGACCAGACCGGTCCGGCCCGATCTGCCAGGCCCATACAGGTGGGTGTCTGTCCTGTGCCCCGTGCCGTCCGGGACCGCCTGAACCACAGCTCCCTGCGGGCTTGGCGCGGGCGCGCTGCCTCCTGGGACTTGTAGTTCTGCCATGGCTTGGCAGATACCCCGCACCCGACGCGCTGCCTCCTGGGACTTGTAGTTCTGCCGCGGCCTGACAGGTTCCCCCTCGCGCAACCGGGCGAACGATGCAGCTTGCTGGTTAGTCAGTAGCAACTCGCTCCGCTCCTTGTTATCGGAAGAGATCGGGCGTACTTACAGAGCAGAACGGTGGAGCCTATAGGTTTCCTCTCCTTGCCAAAAAGCAGACCCTAGAAGAGCCCCAGGATGGAGGGGAGCCCAGCCCAGCCTGAGGACTACTACAGGAGTCATACCCCTTCGCAGGCTAAAGTGATCCTCGTATTCGTTGGGCACTCTTCCTCTGTATGGGAAAGGGAAGCCTTGAATACCGTATTCGTTTGGCCCCAGGGTGAGCAGGATGGGGTAGGTCCCCCAGCCTGGCCCCAGAAGCCTGTGTTATACAGGGGGGTGTGGCTGAGCTGGATCTTGGACTTGCTGCTTTGGTATGACAGGATCTCATCTCTCAGCCAGTCCTTAGTGTTTGGGAGCAGGTCAGAGGAGAGAGAAGGCCTGTGCAAAGCCTGGGCAAAGGCTAGACCCAGTTGTGTACAGAGCTCTGGAGTAGGGGGACTGAAGGTAGAGCCCCATACGATCAGATACCCATGACCTGGCTTCCCATATCCTTAGGCAGCACTAGCCCTTCTGGAGCAAGGAGTCTTTTCCCCAAGGACATGAAGCTGTTGGAGAACTCGAGCTTTGAGGCCATCAACTCACAACTGACAGTAGAGACTGGAGATGCCCACATCATTGGCAGGTGAGGCTGGAAGCTCTGGGGGCCAGCATCTCAGAGGTCAGTGCCCTGGCCCCTGAGTTGAAACTTGAAGCGACAGAATGCTCCATGTTCCTGCCTGCATCCCATAGGATTGAGAGCTACTCGTGTAAGATGGCAGGAGATGACAAACACATGTTCAAGCAGTTTTGCCAGGAGGGTCAGCCCCATGTGCTGGAGGCACTGTCCCCACCCCAGACTTCGGGCCTCAGCCCCAGCAGGTGAGCTGAGATAGGACCTGCCTCTTTGGGTCTGTGGGATGGCAGTCTAGGCTAATGTTTGTCTTTGTGCAGACTGAGCAAAAGCCAAGGTGGTGAAGATGAGGGTCCCCTCAGTGACAAGTGCAGTCGCAAGACCCTCTTCTATCTGATTGCCACACTCAATGAGTCCTTCAGGCCAGACTATGACTTCAGCACAGCCCGAAGCCACGAATTCAGCCGGGAGCCCAGCCTGAGCTGGGTGAGGACTGGGAGGGAGCTCCACCCCCCCACCCCACAGCCATCCCCACTGCCTTTCCCACTGCCTTCCCCACATCAGCCTGGGCTCTGCCTTGTTTGGTCCTGGACCCCTGTCAGCCCCAATGTGACCTGCCCTAGGTTGTGAATGCAGTCAACTGCAGCCTGTTCTCAGCTGTGCGGGAAGACTTCAAGGCCCTCAAGCCGCAGTTGTGGGACGCAGTGGATGAGGAGATCTGTCTAGCTGAATGTGACATCTACAGGTGGGCCTGTATCTTCACAGGTAGACCCCTAGGTATATGTGACACGGAGAGTCTCATACTATGTCTTGGCCTACTCTGCAGCTATAACCCAGACCTAGACTCTGACCCCTTTGGGGAGGATGGCAGCCTCTGGTCTTTCAATTATTTCTTCTACAACAAGCGGCTCAAGCGAATTGTCTTCTTCAGCTGCCGCTCCATCAGGTTGGTGCTTCCTGTCTCCCTTCCTCCAGTTCCTGTTGGGCCTCACCATCTCCTCAGGTTGCCCATCTGTTCTCAACTTTGTGCTGCCTGGACATCCTCCCTGGGGCCATCAGCAGGCCTGGGGCAGATGGTCCTAAGATTGTTTCCCCACTTCCCACCCAGTGGTTCCACTTACACACCCTCAGAAGCAGGCAATGAGCTGGACATGGAACTGGGGGAGGAAGAAGTGGAGGAAGAGAGTGGAGGCGGAGGCAGTGAGGGCAGGGCTGAAGAGACCAGCACCATGGAGGAGGACAGGTATGTGGTGGTGGTGGTGGTCCCAGTCCTTGGAGCCTCTAGTGTCTGGGCCAGGTCAGGGTCTCTTCTGCCTTGTCTCCTGAGTGGTGGCTCCTCAAACTCACTGTATGTCAACCTTTGCCCAGGGTCCCAGTGATCTGTATGTGATGAGGAGAAGCAGAGGCCCCAGCTTCATCCAGCTTCAACCAGTGCCTGGACCTACCCACCTGAGGGGCCCAGGGCCTCCCCAGCTGCTGGCCATACCCTGGCACTGCCCAAGGCCAAATCTGCCTAGCCCTTTGGCTCCAGCCTGTGGATGTGCACTCATCCTCGAAGGCTCCTACTGCCCATGCTGTGACTGGACTAGACAGCACGGGGCCTGCTGGAAAGAGTGACTGCCCTGCCCAAGCAGACTGCCACAGCAGGGACAGCTGGACCACAGAGTTTATTTTTGTATTTCCTACTGGGTCTGTACACTCCTGGCCTGAGRCCCAGCAAGCAGGCTCCTGTCTTGAGCCAGTGGCCCCTGGTGCCTACCTGTTCCCCCCACCTCACCAGGTGGGCCGTGTGCACTGAGTGTCACTTTGCTGCAGCTCATTTGTTTCCAATAAAAGTTTCTGTGACTCCGGACCTCAGTGCGTCGTGTGGGCGGGGCCTGCATTGTGGGCGGGGCCTGTCATTCATATCCTAGCAACCGATGCTGCCCCACCCGCCAGGAAACGGTTAGTTTCCCAGAGCTGTTGGTCATCTGGACACACAGCTGTGAAAATGGAGGCTAACATGTTGGACACAAGCAAGCCCTTATCTTCAGAAGGYGATAACTTGCTTCTGGACTCAGACCTGTATGATGCAGACGGCTTTGACACCCCAGACCCTGGGCTGCTGTCAGAAAAGAATGGTGAGGGGGACTGGCCTTACCCCCTAGGCACCCGGCCAGAAACAGGACTCATTTGGACTTGGTTCTGGGAACACAACTCCTCTGGGCAGTAACTGATTCAACCGGGCACTTGGAGAAGGGCACCTTGCTGCCCATGACCTCCAGGGTTGGGGCCCAAGGCCACAGGTAACAGTACTCCCTCCATTGGCCCACAGAGCTGTGTTCCCTGGAGCAGTCACAGGTCCTGCAGCTTTTCACCAGCACCCAGCGGTGGCAAAACATGCCCCTGTGTACCCGCGCCCACCAGCTGTGGCTGCTCATTCGTACTGGCCTCCACAACGTTGTGGAAAAGGTGTGATTTGGCCCAGCATCTGCCACTGGTCTCTTCCCAGTCCAGCCCTTCCCCTGGGGGTCCTCTGCACCAGCTCCATTGGAGTTTCCCTCTGCAGAAGAGCCCAGCCCCCACCCCTAACTGCAGATCCTGCTCATCCTGGCCCGCAGGAAAAGAGAGCTGAGCTGCGTGTTGCTCGCTTGACACATGGGCTGGAGCCACTGCGCCGCCTGGAGGTGCCAGCTGGGCTGCGATCCGTGGCACAAGACCCAGTGGGAGGACATTTCGTGGTGCTGGATGGGGCAGGTTGCCTGCACCTGCATAAAAAGGATGGCTGGGCTCAGGAGACGCTGCTGGCCCCTGTGGCACTTACTGGTCTGGTAGCTGTGTTGGGCCCTCTAGGAGCGGTGGGTCGCTTTGTAGGCTGGGGCCCCACAGGGCTGGCCATACTAAGGCCAGACCTCAGCCTGCTGTGGTTGAGCCAGCCCGAGGTGGGTAGGGTGCTAGGCCGTGAGCCCACTTGCTGCCTGCCGGTGCCCAACCTGGGGCTGCTGCTTGTGGCTGAGGTGGGCGGCAGCCTGGCTCTCTTTAAGTTCCGCTCAGGTGGTCGACGCCTGGTGCTGCGTGGCTTACCCCTGCAGCCACCACCAGGCCTGGCGGGCACACTCAAGCGTCTGGCTCTGGGGCCAGGGTCTACCCACCAAGACACACACTGCTTCGCAGCCTACGGCTCAGCTGTGCTCACCTTCGATCTACAAGCCTGGAATCTCACAGATGTGCGCCAAARTCTGCACAAAACGTGAGGGGGGCTGGGGACTGGAAGACAAGGTGGTCATGGCAAAAGGGGTGCAGGCTGCAACACACTAGGCAGTGCTGAGTCCACGGGGCCTCCCCATTCTCTCTAATCCCCAGCACCATCTCTGACCTGGCCTACTTCGAGGAGGCAAAGGCCATGGTGACGTCTTCCCAAGACAGTACGGTGAAGGTGTGGGAGGTTAACTGGCAGATCCGCATGGTGTTCGTGGGTCACACAGGTGCGCTGCTCCCAAGATGCTCTTGTAGTGTATTCTCTCTGCACCCGGAGCTCGGCCCTCTGCCTTTGAGCTCTGAGCTATTGGAGATTTCTGCTGGGTCTGACCAAGATTCTCTGCGTTGGCTGCATCCCGGGCCAACAGCTCCCTTCCCTCATTCCCGGGTGTGCCTGAGATCTGCGCGCTCCCGCAGGCCCGGTGACAGCAATGGTCATTCTCCCGAACACCACCCGAGTGTCTTCCGCCTCTCAGGATGGAACGTTGCGCACGTGGGACCTGCAGGCGGCGGCGCAGGTGGGAGAGGTGGCGCTGTGCTCCTGGGGCCAGGACGTGCTGTCCGCGCGCGTGAGCCGATTGCTGGCACCTGCGGCCCGGGGCTGGCCGGTGCTCTCACTGTGCGCGAGCAGCGTGGAGCTTTGGCGCCTGAGCGAGCTCTACTCGCCATTGGCGCAGCTGCCCGCGCCGGTGCTCCACCTCCAGGTGGCGCCTGCGCTACCAGCTCCAGTGAACCCATCTCTGCCCACGCGCCTCGTATGCGCTTGTGTGGATGGCTCGGTCTACCTGGTGTCAGCTGCAACAGGGAGAACAGTGAGCGCACTGCTGCTCGAGGCCGAGGACTGCGCGGTTGCGGTGGCCTACTGCCTTCCGCGCGAGGCCCTGTGGCTGCTGACGCGCACAGGACATCTGGTGCGCGCCAACGCAGCCTGCTGCCCCATGAGCGTGCTGCATCGTGTGTGCCCGCCACCGCCCCCGGCGCCACAGCCCTGTTGCTTGCACTTGTACAGCCACCTCACAGACCCCGGCAGCGCGTTAGCCTGCTGGGAGATCGTGCGCCAGAACGAGGGCGATCTGCGCCGCAGCGCCATGGCCTGGGCTTGGAAGAACAAGAACCGGTGGGCGCCGGAGCCAGCGAGATCCAGACGGGAGGGGAGCGGTGACTGAGCTCATACCCACAGGCTCCGTCACCACCCGCAGGTACCTGCCAGTGATTGGGCATACAGACGGCACACTCTCGGTGCTTGACTGGCTCTCCTCGAAAACTGTGTTCCATACAGAGGCGCACAGCCCAGGCCCTGTTACCGCCATTGCGTCCACCTGGAACAGCATCGTTTCTTCGGGTTAGTACCTCCACTTCCTGAAGCCGGCTCGGGAGCCCCTGCCTTTCCGGGCAGCTCAGCCTTGCTCCCGCTGTCCCACAGGTGGAGATCTGACCGTGAAGATGTGGCGTGTCTTCCCCTATGCAGAGGAGAGCCTGAGCCTGCTGCGCACCTTCTCCTGCTGCCACCCGGTTGTGGTGCTTTGTGCTCTGGGTAAACGCATCACTGTAGGTTTTGAGGACCCAAATAGTGCCACCTATGGCCTGGTGCAGTTTGGCTTGGGTGAGGGTCGTCGCTGTGACCACCGGCCCCAGGATGATCCCATGGACCACATCACTGGTGAGGGGACAGAACAAAAAGGCAAAGCCTGGGCCTCCATGTTAGTCTGGTCCTGACCTAACCTTGTCTCCAGGCTTGTGCTGCTGCCCCACACTCAAGCTGTATGCCTGCTCCAGCCTGGACTGCACCATCCGCATCTGGACCTCTGAGAACCGCCTTCTGCGGTGGGCTGGGGCCCTGGGGAGGGGATTGGGGCCTGGGGTGTAGCCACTGGGCTCTCCAAACCTCTGCCTCACACCACAGCCCAATGGCTAGGGAGTGGGATGACACAGGGCCTTGCCCCTGATACTGCCTCAGTTTCCCTCTCTGAAGCAGGAGTGGCCTCTGGGTACCCCCGCAGGCTCCTGCAGCTGGATGGTTCCCCTCAGGCCCTGGCCTTCTCCAGCAACAGTGGAGACCTGGTGCTGGCAATGGGTTCCCGTCTCTGCCTGGTCTCCCACAGGCTCTATCTGCCCACAGCCTACCTAGTCAAGGTATGCAGCGAGGTCAGGATGGGCAAAGTGGGGCTGCTGCGTGAGGACAGACCCTAAGGATCAGGGGTCCAAGCTTCTCTTGCTTGCCCAGAACCTGTGCCAGAAGGCTCCTGATGTGGTGGATGACCCTCCATTGCCACTGACCAGCCACGAGTCACTGACCTCCATCCAGATGCAGAGGCTCACCAACCTGCATGGGGCATTCAGTCTCAGGTCTGCTGGCAGGTCTCAGCTGTCCTTGAGACTCCCATTTAGCCCCTGGGGTCAGGGCCTGACTGTGTGGCCCCTGCATGAGGACTCAGGACTCCTGGACTGCTCAGAGGCTGCCACACCCATCCCCGCCCTGCCATTCCCTCTCCTGGCTGGTCCTTGTCCTGCTTTCTGCCCTGTCCTACTGGACTATATCTCACCTGTGCTTTTCCCTTTCTGCAGCCCGGCCTTGCTCTCCACCCGTCGCCAGTCAGCGACACCTCAGCAGCTAGTGATGAAGGAGGTGAGGTGGATACTGACCTTCTTGCCACCCCACTGCCTAGCCCTGTCCCTGCTCAGGCTCAGGCCATTGCCCCTTGGTCCCTATGGCTGGCTTGGACACCTGTGGTTATGTGGGCAGCACATGGCTTCCAAGGAAGCAAACCTGACCTCTGACCCCCACCTCTCAGGACTTGGAGGCCATAATGGCCCGTGACCAAGACCTTCAGGAGTTGAGGCTGGGACAGGTCATCCCAGCAGCCCGGCCCCCACCCTCCTGGAAGCAGCGCCAGGAAGCCTTTGACAATTACCTACGTTTGATCTATGGCCCTGGACTATTGGTGGGTGTGAGGCCATCCTCCAGCCTCTGCCCTGACCCTGGCAGATCCTCTCAGCCCAGACCTGACACTGCCACTGTTCCCACCTGTCTCAGGACATGCAGTTCAAAAGGGAGCCCCAGCAGGGGAGCGTCATGACCCTCACCACAGAAAGAGAGCTCCAAGACAAGACATGTGTACCCTGTCCAGAACTGCCTCCTGCTTTGGGCAGGCTACCATCAGCAGTGAGGCCCAGACAGTACCCAAAGCCCTTCTCCACTCCCAGACCCCAGGGGCCCCAGGCCAGCGTTTTGCCCACCCCCCCAAGTGATCTTGCCCACCCCCCCAAGTGATCTTGCCCCATCCACCCACCACCAGAAGGTCCACAGCAAAGTGTCCAAGGTGAGGCCTGCCTCCCCTCCCACCCCCTTCCTGACATCATGGCTGAATCCCCCTGACTCCTTGGCTGCCTCAGCTTCTGGCCTGCTCTTCCCTGAGCTGTGACTTGGGCCTCAGTCTGGATCTGCAGATGCAGTTGGAGCAGCTCAGAGAGGAGATGACCATGGCCTTGGACCCACCGTCCTCCCTCCCACAGMACAGGTGAGGTAAACTTAGCAGCTGGGATGCCACCTACTCAAGAGCAGTACTTGAGGGGCTCTAGGGGCTGTGCTCAACTCTTGAGTCTCTGTCCCATCTCCAGGTCCCACTTTGGCTGCAGAAACAGCCCAAGGATCCTCTCTCAAATCTCAAGGGCTTCTTTCCTGCCACTGTGCAGTCCCACAAGGTGAGGCCTTCTGGGTTCCCAGAGAGGCACCCCCCTCCAGGGTTACTCTTCTTGTGTACCCTATCTCCCCTTTGCTGCAAACCTCTGTGTCCAAATTGGATCTAAGGGCCATGGCCACCTGTAGCTCAGAGGCCAGCTCCAGAGTCCCCCGCCCTGCCCCCCCCTTTCCTGGAGTTATGGTGCAGTGGTGTCTGTGGGCAGGAGCACCTTGTTGCCTACGAGGCCTGAGTCTGAGCCAGAGATCCCCTGCCACTGAATCTCCTGCACACCCCCCTCCTCAGTGGGAGCACTCTGTAGGTGGGTCGCCAGTGGGCTTATCCTGCAAGACCAGAGTCCCCACCTTTCAGGGGAGCAAAGTCAAGGGGAGCTAGCCCTTCAAGATCCCATACTTGGGCTGGGGCTGTGGCTCAGTGGCAGAGCGCTTGCCTAGCATGGGTGAGGCACTGGGTTCGATCCTCAGCACCACATAAAAAACAAATGAAAAATAAAGGTTAAATTCTTTTTCTTTTTTCAAAAATTTGTTTTGTATTTTTGTCAATGGGCCTTAATTCTATTTATTTATATGCAATGCTGAGATTTGAACCCAGGGCCTCACACATGCCAGGCAAGTGCTCTACTACTGAGCCACAACTCCAACCCCAAAGTTAAATTCTTTTTTTTTTCTTTTTTACTTACTTATATGTGGTACTGAAGATCGAACTCAGTACCTCACATGTGCAAGGCAAGTGCTCTGCCACTGAGCTACAGCCCCAGCTCCCCAAGGTTAAATTCTTAAAAAAAAAATAAAATTAAATCCCACACTTACTCACAGGGGGTGCCCAGCAGGCCCAGCCCCTTGCTTAGSACAGGCTGGCTCCTATCTAGGCATGCCATTTTGTCCTTCCAGCTTTGTGGCATATCGACTCAAGTTCTCCACTGAGCTCTCTCTAGTTACTTCCTTTCTATCCTGTCCCCTAGCCCCAGGCTTCCCTGTTTCAGGGTTTGAGACCAAGTGCCAAGAAGAACCTGTGGGGGTTGGGGCTTTCCAAAGGCCTTCTGTCCCCCAGATTTCCCTCATCTTCCGGTCAGTGTCCATGGACCACTCCTCCTTCGGCACCCCAGACTTTCCCCTCACCTGGATGTTAAGAGCATGGGCTGCCTGTCCAGTCTGATGGAGGCCTGGCAGGCAGAACTGGGCCCATGTCTTGGGACCCTACATGATCATGGGTGTGACCCAGGGTGGTGTCCCAGTTGGGRTGGCTTCAAGTTCTCAGCCACCCTACTGTGCTCTGCCTCTAGTACTGCCCACGACCCATTAGTTTCCCTGGCTGTGTGCCCAACTCCGTGGTGCTTCAGCAGATGTGGCCGTCCACAGAGATCGGCCATCTTAGACCTCTGACCACGCTCCCCTCCTATACTGAGAACAGACTCAAGGCAAGAGGCAGAGCTGGGGGGCTCAGGGAGGGCTCCACTGTCCCCACCGTCTGCCAGATGCCCCCTTTTGTGCCCTCTCCTCTATAGCCAGATGCAAGCCTGGATGACCTATGGCTACAGCGCCACAGGTGGTCCAAGTGGCACAGTAGGCTGATGCAGTGGCTTCATGGGAGGTCTGAGAAGGAAGAGGAAGAAGAGGAGGAGGAGGAGAAGGAACTGAAAATAGACTGGATCTCAGCTTCTCTGAGTTCACCCAGGATGTATTCTGACCAACAGTTAGATTACTGGGAGGCAGAGGCTGGGGTATGCATCCCAGGCTGCCACAGGCGGGGTGGGCTCAGTGCCCAAAACCCAGAGAAGTGGGGCTGAAGTTGCTGTCACTTCCCCTAGAGYGCCATGGACTTGATTGGCAAGTCCCAGAGCTTCCATGAGGCCCCCAGGACCAAAATCTACTTTGGCTCCCAGTACCACCAGGGGCATTCACTCTGGGAAGAGCGCTATGGGCATCTGCCCAGGTTCCTGCACTCTTTCGTCATCCAGAACTGGTTCAAAAAGCTGTTCCCCATCTTCACCCTGGAGGTGTGGGGGGCACTGGGAAGCTGGGAAACGTAGTCTGGGATGGGGTGTGGGGAGAAAGGAGCCTGCCTGAATGTGAAATAGGGAGCAGGGTCTCAGCATACCGTTCTGTAGGCCTACCCTGAGATGGGCACAGTGGAGGGCCTGGCCTCCATGTTGGTGGACCTGCTGGCAGAGGCCACCTGGGAAGAGCGTGTGCATATCCTAAATGCACTGCTGAGACTGCTGCCTGATGTGAGCAGTGACCTCCACAGTCGGCTGCAGAGCCACCTCTTGCACTTGCTCAACTTGGACAACCCCCCCAGCCTCCAGGTGAGTTCCTTGACACCCTCCTCCCCCACCGTGTTTCTCCCACCAACCATTGACCCCACCTGTRCACAGGACCACATTCAGAAGCAATTTGTGATGCTGGCACTGCAGCTGCTGCTGGCCTGCTCCCTGGATTCCCGTGATGTGGTGCTAGAGCTCATGTCCTACTTCCTGTACTCTCCAGCTTCCGACCGGTAAGTGACACTCCTGACCCATCCTCCCTACCAGCTGGGGAGGCTGGAATAAGCCACATGCATTTGTCCTAGGCCAGAGCTCAAGAAGCTGCTGAATGGTCTGGGCCTCCGGGACCCAGAGGGCTTCCTGTTCAAGGAGATGATGACCTGGGTCCAGGGCTCCAAACTTAATTCCAAGGCCAAGCTGCGCTTATACTGCTGCCAGAAGCTGGAGGGCATGATCCAGCAGCTGAAGGTCTGGTGCACATGGCCTAGCTGGGCTTCTCCAGAGGCAGCCCTGGGGTCCCCTGGGCTACAGGGATGCCTGCTTTGGCTTCCTGCTCAGGGGTGGGGCACCCTGTCCCTGGGGCTGGGAATTAGGCAAAAGGGAATTTCAGTTGCCAAGGAGCAAGGATGCTTCTTAGACTGGCCACTTCCTCTACAGATGGAAACTTTACAGCCGTCTACAGCTCAGTTGTCAATGGTGCTGCCCAAAGGCTCTGATACCTGGCCGCCTTCCTTTCCTCCCAGGGAGGACCAGTCACAGGCTTCAGCAGTCTCAGGGGCTCCTTCGAGCATCTTCTGGCCGCAAGCCTCTCAGGCACTCCTCCATGTCCTGGAGCCTCCCTTGCTTGTGGTGTCCCCCACAGAATCTAAAGCTGGAGCCCCAGAGCCCCAGGCTCACTTTTGCACTGGGCAGACCAGGCGGTCGCTCTCAGAGACACTGAAGAGCTTCTGCTCGGTGCCTGAGCCCTCCATGCCCACTGCACCACATGGCCTGCCACAGCCGCTGGAAAATACTGACTGGTCGCACTGGCAGATGCTGGACCTGGACTACATCGATGCACTCAACTACTTCTGCGAGCAGCATCAAGTAGAGCAGGAGAGTTTGATCCAGAAGGAAACTGAACAGCCACCCCGCTCTGCATCCCCGCGCCCTCCTGTGCCTAACACTGTGGTGGCGCCACCCAGGGATCAAGGGTGAGTGCAGCAAGGGAGCCCCCTGGCCGGCATGGGCAGCTGAGCATGGTCTGTCTGACCTGATTCCTTCTCCCAGGCACTACCCCATACTTAGACTGCAGGAAGCCAAGGCTCGGAGCTCTGGGATGAGAATGAAGGGTGAGTGGGCTCAAGGGTGGAGACTGGTCCCTGGTCCCACACCCTTTCCTCATCCCAGCCTTGGCTGGTGGTCTCATTGGCCTGCCTGCCCCCAGGCCGTGTGATGTCACATCTCAGCACCCACTGTGCCCGTTCACTGGACCGTTCCATCCGGGTGCTAAAGCTGCCCCTGCCGAGAGTGGAGCTGCAGCCCTTCCCCCCAGGCTGGCCCGCACCCCCTCGTGCCCTGCCCCCGTTGCTCCTGCAGCCCACCCTGCAGCGCTACTTTCTGCCCGAAGATGCGGATCCTGACAGCTACAGCTGACCTGGCAGGCACAGTGGGTCCTGTGTCTCAATCCCGCCAAGCTGAATTGCAACAACACTTGTGTCTTCTGTGTTCCCTGGCATAGGCCTGCATCTGGAATAAAGTCCAGAGGCTTTGGCAAGAGGACAGATGCCACCTCCGTCTCTCCAGGGCTTGGGGGTGGGCAGGAAGGCATGGCAGTAGTCTGAATTCGCTGGTGATGGGTGGCATGTGATGTCAAGAATTGGGGGTCTCTGGGATGGGACAACATCTGGGATATGGTCATGGGGTGAAGCAGCACTCCTGGTGGGATGAGCCTGTCAACCTGGTCAAATACTGGATGTTAAGATGAGTGATTGACATTAGAGATGATTCCCTGGGTCATATCCCTGACCAGATATGAAGGGGACTTTCCAAGTGGGTACATCTGTGTGTGGGGAGGAGTCTGCATGTTCGAACAGCAGTCTGCTGGGACCTGGTTTTCCTTACTTGTATTCTGGGAGAATACACCTGGGCTTTTACCTGGGAAGTAACAAGGCAGCAGCATCCTTTGGATCCTTCCACATAGAAGTCCCAGGAAATGGACATTGACCTATGGGGTACAGGATCTCAGAGTCACCCACATCCTTCAAAGCTAGCTTGGCAGGTCACTGACAGGACCACTGAGGGTCTCCACACACATTAGCTGTTTGCACTGTTTTTTTTTTTTTTTTTAWCATTTTAATTGTAGTTGGATACAATACCTTTATTTTATTTACTTATTTTTATGTGGTGCTGGGATTGAACCCAGGGCCTTGCACATGCTAGGCTGCCGCAGTCTGGCTGGGCACAAAATAAYCGAGCTGCCACACAGCCTTGTAGGTTCAAACAGCAACCTTTATTCCMGAACTCTACACACACTTCCCGGGAACACACTGCCTCCACGGGCTCTGCCCACCAATTCTCTCCGAACCCTGCGAGAACTCAAGGGGAACTCCAAAGTAGCGGTTGCCCCGAGGCAGCAGGATCTGCCCTAATCCCGGAGCAGGGTCACCTTTCAACCATTCCCTCTGGCAAAAATGCCAGGCATCTTTCTGACTAAACTGTGGCTCTCAACACTAGGAGAGCGCTCTAGGCTGAGCCACAACCCCAGCCCYGTTGGCACTGTTTGAGAAGTTCCCCTAGCTTTTTACATCCTTCCATAGTGATTTCCTTTCYTGTAAATTCTCAGCTTCCAACCTTACACCTGTCTTCTTAATGGCTTTAGGGTTAGAACTGGTCTTCCATCCCTTACCCATAACCCCCAAGCCTGCAAGCCTGCAGGGGCTTTTGCTATGAGACTGTGAGGTAGCACCTCTTCCCTAGGCCAGGCAGGCTGAGAGGTTCCAGGAATGAAGAATTGGAAGATTTTTTTTTTTTACAAAGAGTAAATATTTTAATTTTTTGAGTATTCTCAATTTCATAATATTTTAAATAATCACACTAACCAGATACATTTCCACAAAAATACTTGTACCATATCAGTATTAACTTTAGGTATTCACATCCATAATTAACATAATTAGGAAATTTAGCAAAGATGGTAAACATCTACATGAATGTTCTCATACTTGTGGCAATTTAGTCTCTAAAATAAGTTAGGCTGGATCTACATAAAAGCTGAATTTGGTGCCTCTTTCAAATTTATCCTTGAAAAAGCAAATAGTCCTGGGTGAGCAGCAGGTTATACAGTGTGCCAGGCAAATCCTACCAGAAACTGGGAGCTGCTGTTCCATACTACAAAATGCAGGAGAAGCAGCARAGTGAACATGTTGGGGGCTGCTATTCTGACTGTCCAGGCACCAGAATCACCCTGAGCCAGTGCCACCCATCCCAGCTCTGGACACAGCAGTACTCTGGTGCTCACTAGGAAGCCAGCACCTGGAAGTTGCTTTTTTCATAAAAGAGTTGTACACACTAAAACAAGAACTCCCAAGGCTATCGTGGACTCCCTCTACTAGAGTTTCACATTTTAAATGATAAAAACAAGAAATGCTTTTTAAATACAAGTGTGAGAAAGTAGGGAAAATTTAAACATCAAGAATCATAATATATATAGTAGTACTGAATATAAAATTTTATTTTGATTTTTTTTTAGTTGTGGATTGGCCCAATACCTTTATCTGACTTACTTTTACGTAGTGCTGAGGAGCCAATCCACTGTCTCACACGTGCAAGCACTCTACCATTGAGCTACAACCTCAGCCCCCCAAATTGTTTTAAACACATTTAAATACACCATTAAGACATGAAAAAGGCAGCATAGGGAGGAGCTATCTACAATACTGACACTAAAAACAGTTCAGAACACATAAGAGACAAGGATCCTACAAATCAATGTGATATGAAATAGAAAACAGGAATTTCAGATCGCAGAAGCCTAACCCTGTCGTCACTGCAGCCCCTTTAGGAGCGTGGGTCTCACCAAGCCTTCGGATGTGCTGCCGCTTCCTGTTGCCACTTAAGTCCTAGCTCGGTGTGAACGCGTCACTGGGTCTGCACCTCCCACAAATGCCCTAAGGCTGCCTCCTTAGGCCTCATCCCACGGCCCCGGGTTCCCAGGTGGCCCTCCTGGTGGCCCTCCGCACCGGGCTCCGCCGGCAGGACTCGGCAGGCCTTCSTTCCAGGCGGACCCGGAGCCACACTCCCCTGACCAGACTCGGTCCCACCCCGGTGCCAGCCCTGACACCCTCGAGGTCCCAGGAGAACCGGCAGGTCGCGGTGTAGCTGGGCCTGAGCGGACCTGCARGGTAACCCGCACGCCCCCGGTGCCCCGCGACCCACCATGCCCCGCGCCTACCTGGCCCCGCCCCCTGCGCCGCGGCCTCAGATTGGCCGCGCGACTTCCGCTTCCGGGGTGGGCGGTGCTGCGGCCCCGGCCCSGGGCTGACTCCCGCAGCTACGGCTGGGGCGGCCGAGCCGATCGCCATGCGGGAGGGCAGAGCCAGCCCAGGTGCGTCCAGCGGCAACGTGCGGGGAAGGTGGGAGGTCTGCCCCGAAGCCGAGGCGGCGAAGCTGCTGCCCTTCCTGGCGCCTGGCGCGCGGGCGGACCTGCAGGCCGCAGCAGTGCAGCACGTGCTGGCGCTGACCGGCGCGGAGTCGGGCCGCCAGCTGCTGGCTGGGCAGCAGGCGCTGCTGCAGGCGCTGAGTGAGCTGGCGGCGGCTCCGGCCCCTGCCCCAGCCCGCGACGCCGCCCGCGCGCTTGTGAACTTGGCTGCGGACCCCAGCCTGCACGAGCCGCTTCTGGCAGCCGACCCCGGGCTGCCGGCTCGTCTGTTGGGTCGTGCGTTGGACCCACAGTGGCCCTGGGCGGAAGAGGCGGCTGCCACGCTGGCCAACCTCAGTCGCGAGCCTGCGCCGTGTGCCGCGCTGATGGCGGCACTGGCAGCAGTCGAGCCAGGGCAGTCGAGCTTGGAGCGGTTGGTGTGTGCACTCTGCACGCGCGGCTACAACGCGCACGCGCCCCTACATTACCTGGGGCCGTTGCTCTCCAACCTTAGCCAGCGGCCTGCCGCACGTGCCTTCCTGCTGGACCCTGACAGGTGAAGCCTAGACTTCGCGCGGGTGGGGAGCGGGTGGAAGTGAGCAGGGATGGCAACTAATGGCCTCTTCCAATAGGTGCGTGGTCCAGCGGCTGCTGCCCCTTATCCAGCGTTCAGACTCCTCAGTGCGCAGGGGAGGGGTGGTAGGGACGCTGCGGAATTGCTGCTTTGAGCACCGTGAGTTGAGGGGGGAGAGGTTTGGGTGTTTCTGGGGTGGGGACTAGACTCTGGGTCCCCTACGAACCGACCTTATTATTATTATTATTAGTTGTAAATTGACACAGTATTTTTTCATGTATTTATTTTTATGTGGTGCTGAGGATCAAAACCAGTGCCTCACACCTGTGAGGCAAGCGCTCTACCACTGAACTACAGTCGCAGGCCCCCGACCTTAATCTTGTCCCCACCCCCAGGACACCATGAGTGGTTGCTTGGGCCTGAAGTCGACATTCTTCCCTTCTTGCTACTGCCTCTGGCTGGGCCTGAGGATTTTTCGGAGGAAGAGATGAACCGTGAGTGGCTTGGATTGATGGTGCCTAAGGGTTGGCCAGGCAGGAAGGAAGTCAACCCCAGGAGAGGGATGGGAAAGTGCCCAGACCCCTTCTGAAACTTTCCAGGAAAGAGATGCTGAGCACAGATGAGGCTCACCCAGGTAGAGCCAGGTCTAACTGCCCAGTCAAGGCACCCAGTGCCTCCCACACTCACCCCCAGGGTTGCCTGTTGACCTGCAGTACCTGCCGCCAGAGAAGCAGCGTGAACCTGATGCTGACATCCGCAAGATGCTCATTGAAGCCATCATGCTGGTGAGCAGGGGTGTGCTATGTTAATGCCACTGTTCTACACACACATAGGAGCACACTGACATATGAGTAACCTCTTCAATATCCCCAGCTGACAGCCACTGCACCTGGGCGGCAGCAGGTGCGGGACCAGGGAACCTACCTGATCCTTCGAGAGCTGCATAGCTGGGAACCAGAGCCTGATGTGCGGTTGGCTTGTGAAAAGCTCATCCAGGTGGGTGCAAGGTTGGAAAGGCTGAGGAATGGGAGCCCACAGCTGTCCAGCTGTTCTACTCACCTGCCTCTTCTCCTGGCAGGTGCTAATTGGAGATGAGCCAGAATGTGGCATGGAAAACCTGCTGGAGGTGCAGGTGCCTGAGGATGTGGAACGACAGCTGCAGCAGCTGGACCGCGAGCAGCAGCAGCTGGACCAGGAGCAGCAGCAGCTGGACCGGGAGCAGCAGCAGCAGGACTGCGAGCAGCAGAAGCTGGCCCAAGAGTCAAGGGTGGAAGGGACTGCACCTACCTGAGGTCCCTTCAGCATGGCAGTCCAGAGTCACCTTTGTCAGACTTGCTAGACCAGACCTGCCTACAGGCCTTCAAATCCCCTGKGCCCTGCTGAGAAGCAGACCTATACTTAGGCTAGAGTGAATGCTCAGTAAATGTTGGAGGGTTGAGGACACTTCCCAACCCTGTGTCTCCTGTTGATACCGATAAGAATAAAGGTTGAGCCAAAGCCCGCCAGGCCCTGTGCCACAACTGCCTTCACATGAGGCAGAGAGGTGGGCCAGKGGAGCCATRAGGAACCTGTTCTCAGGCAAAGTGGTGGACTGGACAGAAAGCATTGCACATCCTGAAGAGCATCCTCTATAAAGTCTGGGCATGGGCAGGTTCAGAGGTTCAAGTAGAGCCTTCTGCTGTCAGCCCCATCCCCTGGGGCCCTTGGCCTGCTCTGCCTGAGACCTGGCCTCAGAGGACTGACCCAGCTACACCTGGATCCTAGGATCTTCCTAGGACTCTGCCCCTGGGCCTGTCTTTGGAGCACTTGCTGGGTACTACTTTCTCTTGGGATCTCCATCTCTGCATGATCTGTGCCTCAGGGTCCTCTGCGCCWGCTGAGCTCTTCCAGTCCCAGGTCAATCTGGTGTTCTCTCATAGCTCTCTAACTAGGCCTGCTCTCCTGGTCAGCTTCCCCGAGTTTCAGCTGCCTTTCAAGACATCTAGATGCTGCTCCCAGACCCTTTGCCTACCTCTGCAGAGAGCCTTCCCCATGTGCCTGTAGTCTTGTCCCATTCAGGCCTCTCTTCCCACCACCATCTACCCCTGCCCTAACCCACRTGGGCCTGGCATGCTTTTTTATCCTAGTTTCATATGTGTTCCCCTTGCCCCCAAGTTTGGAGCAGTTATWGTGGCTTTCACCCCACTTTGTTTCCTTCCTGAGCCTCATGCCCCCTGCGTGGGAATCTTGAGTGCTGTTCCCTCTTCACCAGTGAAGAGACCCTGATGAAGGAGCTTAGCTTCCGGAAGCTTGCAGGCCCCGTTCCACCTCACCAAAACCCTAGACTGCACTACCTCATGTTCTCTGACGTGGCTAGGTGCTTCATTAGGTGACACTGGTTTCCCTTTCCAGGGTGCCCTCTAGCCCGCCCCCATTAAAGCCTAGCAGTCTAGGCAAGTGCGATACATGTGCTGGTTTTTCCCTGACTGGGAGACCCAGAAAGTGGWGGCAGAGCCTCCACCAGGGAGGCAGCTGGAGGCCATTTCTTTTTCCTTGCATTAAGACAGCAGCACTCCCAGCTCCACAGAATAAACATTTTATCTCCCCATACCCACCCACCCACCCTCAATTGATCATGTAGTGCCCAGGAATGTTCCTGACAGCATAGGTAGAGCATAGAGACAGGGACTGGCTCCCTGCTTTGGTGCACCGGAGCCCCAGCCCTGCAGAACCTGCTTCTTGTCTGGGGAAGACATTGGAGGTCCTGAGCGCCAGGCCCAAGGCGCTCTCCTCCCAGGTGTGCTGCTGCTGTTGCCTCCTTGGGTAGGTTGAGTCTGCACCATGCTCTGCATCCTCCTGGGGCGCTAGGAGCTGTGAACCCGCTAGCTTCTCTGAAACTGACAGAAGTGGAGTCAGATGGAGCGTAGAAGACTATCTGCTTTCCAACTCCACCCCCAGACCATGCCCCACCTGATGTGGTACCCGCTACCGCTACCGAGCGGAAGAGTATGTACACGGCAGGAAGCATCCAGCGGTGTCCAGCCACCTGCTGCAGGCCCAGGCGTGCACGTGGGCGCAGGTGGAGCAGTCCCCGGATGAGGTCCCGGCACTCTGCAGGCAAAAACTCAGCTGTGGCCTGCAGCCGCCCCCACCAGCTGTCTCCCAGCACCCCTGGTCCATGCCCACCACCACCAGTAATGGAGGCCACTTAGAGAGGTCAACCCATTTCAGTCCTGGCAAAAGTCTGAGAAAGTCCATGTGTCACTGAAGGGGAGACGAGCAAAGAGAGGCGGGGCTAGTTCTGAGCTCAAACCAGCTTGGTGGAGCTACTGCCTTTCCTGGTGCCCAGTCAAGCCCTCCCCCAGCCCAGCTTCCCCATCATGCACTTCCAAATGAGGTGGAAGATGAGTCCAGATCATTCTCCACTGCACTGGTTGACCCTTCCTGGCGCACTGGTCTTTGCTTATTCTCCGGGCCTGAACTGGGATTTTTTTTTTTTGGGGGGGGGGGGCACATGGGGTAATGGTGTTCACCTGGAGACAGGCCAGGCTGGAAGATAGGTCCACGGYGCATGAGGTGCAGCATGCGGTGAGGCTGGCTCTCTTTGAATGGCAGCTTCCCAGTCACCATGGCGTAGAGGATGATACCTCTGGAGATAAAGGCTCCTCTAGGTGGTGCCCCTTCCCAGCCCTCCCATAGGTCCTGCAGGCAGAGGGTGCCTGTGGGGTGGCACTCACAGGCTCCATAGGTCGGCCTGTTCGCCATGGTACTTCTTGCTCATGAGGATCTCTGGGGCTGTGTAGGCCACAGAGCCACAGAAGGTGCTCAGCAGTGAATTCTTGAGGCTTGAGTGGTTGGCGAAGCCAAAATCTGCATGGGGCATACAGGCGGAGCCGCACAGCAGTTGAAAGACAGGTCAAGGACCCAGGGGTCAGAAGAGTATGGGTCTGCGCTGACATTTTGGGGAAGACAGGGGCACCAAGTGGGTGAATTAGGGTGGGGCTGAGCAGAAGGCATTTATGGGATTAGGCCAGTGAGTCTGGGCTGCAGTGAGAGAGCTAAAGGTCAGGGCTAGGTCATAGTTGAATGTAGAGCCTGCCTGAGACTGGCAGAAGTTGAAGGTTGTAGTGAAGGAGTGGAGCAGGCTTGGGGGCAGGGCCTGGCTCACCTGTCAGCTTTAAGAAGCCCTGATCATCCAGGAGTATGTTCTCACATTTCAGGTCCCTGCAGGGAAAAGGAAGGTGGGGCTGGGCCTGGGCTCAAGGGGACTCAAGGTGGGCAGGATGGCCAGGTGGCACCCTCACCGGTGCACAATGCCAGCATTGTGGCAGTGGGCTACAGCGCTGACCAACTGCCAGAATAGCCTTCGGGCTTCCTCTTCCTCCAGCCCCGGGCAGTGTCGGTAGTCTGACACAGCATTGATGTGTTCCAGCAGGTCACCTCGGGCAGCCAACTCCAGCACCAGGTAGAAGCGCTGGCTGTTCTGATAGGTCTCATACAGCTGTACCTGCCAGACCCCCACCACCATTACCCTGAGGAGGGGCTGGGCCCAGGACGTCCAGGGACTGTGGAGTGTACTGGATCTGGGGTTCAGAATGGGGTTGGGCTTTAAGCCTAAAGACTTAAAGGTCAAAAGTTGGGGAGGTGGACAGGCCATGCTGGGCAGCAGGTATGGTAAGGCCTGGCCTTGAGGATGGGGAGAATAGGACAGGCTAAGTCAAGACTACTGCCCACCACATTCAGGTGCTTATAGGTAGCATTGAGTGATGAGATCTCCCGGGGCAGGAACTTTTGAGAGAATTCCACAGGAGCCTCAGCCATGGAGACAATCTTGATAGCTACCTGTGGGAGGTAGAAGATGGTTGTGGCAGGACAGGCCCACTGTCCTTGGTACACGTGGCTGAACTTCTCAGAGGTGTAGTTGGGTAAACAGTGTCTGTGGACGGTGCTGACCTCCCTGTCCTTTTCCTGGGCACTTATATGTCCAAGGTTTGGTAACAGGGAGTGGTCATGGGAAAACCCAGAAGAAGCAGGACCTGGGGGGGAGGCATTTTGGAGGGAACTGGGGTTTCTAGAAGGTGCYTGAGTTGGTTCAGGACAGGGGACTGTTGTGGGGGCCAGAAGGTACCCCAAGGAGCCCACAGGAAGGAGACAGGCCTGCCTCACCATGCTGTGGTGCTTGCCCCGCAAGTCAGAGGACAGCTTGGGGTTGTGCTGCATGCGCTCCTGTGTGGCATAGGCCAGGTAGACCTTGGAGAATGCTCCAGAGCCAATCCTCTTGGAGGAGAGCAAGTAGCCATTGTCCATGCATTCTCGCACCTGTTCTATGAAGGTCCTGTGGTCCAACCTGAGCCTACCGCTGCCCTTCATGGAGGGCAGGGTGCTGCCAAAGGGAGCGTGGCAGTCCAGCTCACTGCCAGCTTCAGTCACAGGGTGGGACAAGCTGTGTCAGAGGGCAAAGGCTGGGGCAGCAGGGGACTGAGAAGGAGCTGCACCCCTCGAGGCAGCCACCAAGTTTCTGGAGTCTTGCTGGAGGTGGGAGGTTAACACACCTAGAGACTGGGTGGGGAGCACAGGCTCTGGGAAGCTGGGGACACATTCTAGAATGGACGATTCTAGAACTGTACCTTCATTGTGCCCCAAAGCATGTGTCGTCTCAGAACCTTCCCCCTGTGAGAATGGCTGGTTGAATCAGAGGGTCCTGTCAGGTGTGGTGCCACTCTGTTGGGGTGGGGAGAACCCCTTCAAGGGCTAGAGCCAGGGTGAGGCCTCTGTGAGCCACCCTGAATGTGTTGGCCACTGAAGACCTTTACAGAAACCGGGGACTCTGGGGGCAAAGGCAGGAGGGCCGACTTTCCAAGGGTACGGGGAAAGGGCTGAACGTGTGCCCACTGCTGTTGCAGCTGTGACTCCTCCTCGAGGCGCTTCCCAACACCCCCCCACCCCCCCACCCCACCCCCACACCCCCCAGTGGCTGCACCGGAACAGGGACAGGTTGGGGGAGCAGAGGAGACTGCTGCAGGAAGCCTCCCAGCTGGAGCTCTCTGTAAGCTGACCACACATCCCTGGGGCCAGCTGCCCTGGGCCTGGGCCCTCGGAGACCATCAACTCCAGCAGATAGGGGCCAACAAATCTCCCTTCTTCTGGCCCCCAGAGTCCTTTGGGCATTTGAGTACTGTCAGGAGGAGCAGTAACTGACACAACTGAGTGCCTGCTTGCCAAGTGCCACTCTAGACAGTGGTGTTAGCTGCCCCACCCAGAGGACACTCGAAGGTACCCATTCCACAAGAGGCAGCTCACAGCCAGGATTGTAAAGCTGAACAAAACTAAACAATCCGTCTTCACACACGATGAAATTGAGACCCAGCAGTGGCAGAGCCCAAGCCCAAATGTCAGAACTTTCTCAGCTGTGAGCCAGAGAGTCTGGTGCAGCAGGCAGTGGGCAGCCTAGGAGTTTCCACAAGGGCCTGATGTGTGGTATAGGCCCAGTGAGTCTGGGGGCTGGCATCATTCCTGCACTGAGATGGATGGGTGAATGTGGTGAGCACGCAGTAGAGGCCTTGGAATAGGCTGGCCTGGGCTGATGAGACACATCCTCTCATCCCTACTGGATCATGAACCTCTTCTTCTTCCTCTTCCTCTTCCTCCTCCCTTCCTACCCCCCTCTTTTTTCTTTGGGTTGAACCCAGGGGTGTTTTACCAATGAGCTACATTCCCTAGTCATTTTTATTTTGAGACAGTTCTTGTTAAGTTGCTGAGGCTGGCCTTGAACCTCTGGTCCTCCTGCCTCAGCTTCCCAAGTGGCTAGGATCACAGGCCTATGTCACTACATGCAGCCCATTAGGTTTTTTTGTTTGTGTTTGGTATCAAGGATTGAACCCGGTGTGGGTTTAACCACTGTGCAACATCCCCAGCCTTTTTTTTTTTTTTTTTTTTGGTCCTGGGGATTGAACTCAGGGGCACTCAACCACTGAGCCACATCCTCAGCCCTATTTTGTATTTTATTTAGACACAGGGACTCTCTGAGTTGCTTAGCAACCCCCTGAAACCTGACCCCTGGCCTCATTTGAATGGCTTCTCCTCAATAAAAGGGTCAGCACGTGCTGGCTCTCACTCTTTCTGTGGACCCTTAAGGTTAGAGGAGCAGTCACAGGGCCCCCAAAGAAAAAGGTCTCTCTGTCTCTTGTGAGGTTATTTTGGGAACCCGGTTCCCCTGGAGGGGTGCTGAGTGTTTTTGTAGTGAGGAATGCAACATGTTTTATTTTGTTTTTGGCTTCCTTAATGTGGTGCTGGGGATTGAACCCAGGGCCTTGGTGCATGAAAGGCAAGCACTCTACCAACTAAGCTRTATCCCCAGGCCCAGAAGCAGCAGTTCTTGAGGCTATCCACCTTCACCTGACTTCTCATGTGCCSCAGCCCTTCTAATTCCTGGGTAACCAACCCACATTAAATTCTCAGGAGTTGTCTTTCTAAACTCCAAATCAGCCATAGGCCAGGTAGTATACCCACATTTTCTATATTCCAGGCACTTTGTCAGACAAGGTGGGAATATCATGCATGAGCACTGAGCCTTGAGCCTTGTGGTTAAGAATTACGTAGGCCCGGCAGTGCATACCTGTAATCCCAGCAGCTCAAGAGGCTGAAAAAGGATCATGAATTCAAAGCCAGCCTCAGCAACTTAGGGAGATCCTGTCTCTAAATAAAATATAAAAAAGGCAGGGGATTGCCGGGCATAGTGTGCACACCCGTAATCACAGCGGCTTGGGAGGCTGAGGCAGAAGAATCACAAGTTAAAGCCAGCCTCAGCAAAAGCAGGTTGACTGACATCTAGGAAGGCCACAYCCAAAGGCAGAGCAAGAGAAGGGACACACAGAGGGCATTTCCACGGAACATTCTATCCCAAACAGGGCAAAGGGGTAGGATCACAAAGGAACAGGTGAGATTGATTCGACCCCTGGGGCTGCAGGAAGGCTCGCCTACACCTGAAGACACATTCTGCTACTTCCAGGATGGGGCAATATTGAGGTCTCTACAAAAATGACTGACGGAGCCTCTTCTGATCATGGGAAGGAGAATGCCAGTCATTCACAACAACAACAACAACAATAAAACCTGGGCTTCTGGAGCTGGAGACTAAAGGAAAAATTGCATGGCTCCAGCCAGGAGCCCATACATCCTAGCTACACCCCTTCCTTCACCTTCCTGGCTTTTACCTGTGCCAGAACCCAACTGGAAGCCAACAAGTGTTAAGCTGAGTAGTGACAGGCAAGATCCAGAATGGTCATCAGCTCTGTCCACCCTCTTTGCAAAGTCTTATTTATCCTTCTGTTTGTCTGCACCCTTATAAACCCATCAACATCATTACCTGCTGGGCTTTGTGCTTAATAATGTAATCCATGCTGGGCAGTTTGTGTGCTATAAATGGGAGGAGTACAAGGCCAGTGGGGCATGTTGGACTTTGGCCTTGGAGCAGAGCACTACAGGCTTTAAGCAGGGCACTGAGTCCAGGCATGAACTTGGAAAAACTCTGTTCCTGGGCAAGTTCCCTGATTAGTTCTCCTGCCTGCTGGGAGTCATCTCCCAGCAATGTCTCCCCCCCCCCCCCCCCCCCCGCCCCAAAGTACTTATTTTTTAGTTGGACACAATATCTTTATTTTATTTTTATGTGGTGCTGAGGATCGAACCCAGGGGCCCCACGTGCTAGGTGCTAGGTGAGCCCTCTAATGCTGAGCCACCACAATCCCAGCCCCTCCTAGCAGTGTCTTGAACCAGGCCCCCATATGTCTATCGTCTAACTCTCTTGACCATCTGTGTCCTGTCCCACTCTCTTGGATTCCATCCCCACAGAAACAGGTCAAATTTCTCTTGCTGTGGGATAAGAACGTTTTGTCCCTACTTTGCCTCCTGAACCCTCAGCCCACTGCCCTCCCCAAACCCCACCCAACCTGCGGTTTGATTTCCACATCTAACCACTCTGACAGGCCTGGAATCAGTCAGTTTGCTGCTTCCTTTTTCTCAAATGGCTCTCTTCCTGTGCTTCCAGAACACCACACACTCCTTTCTTTGAGCTGTGAACTTATCCAGGAGATTTTGGCCTCCGGTCTTCGCAGTAGGGAGTCTGCCCTGGGCGCTCCTCTCACCTGGGGCGGGGAGCGGTTTGGGTCCTTCCCAGCCGCTCACTGTAACTCTTCATAGCACTTCCCGAGCGCTGTAACTGGCCTTATTAATCATTCACTTGTTTATTTGTGCTTAATAATGTAATCCATGCCGGGCAGTTTGTGTGCTTGGGAAGGGGAGAGGTGACCACTCTACGTGGGAGGGGTTCATTTTATTTGCCTCTCTTCAGATTTAGGCCATTTTGATTTGCAGGGTCTGTTGGTATGGGACTGTGCACCTCCGATGGGCCTGCGTGTGTATGCATTCGCCGAGGGGTCCGCAACCTAGGTCTCCGGGGCGTTTGTCGGACGTTCTCTGTGAGAGAGAGCCCGACAATGCCCAGTGTGTTCCAGGACAGGTACGTGTTTGTGTGAACCTGTGGGCTCTGTGCACATCTGGATGCAATGACACACCGACCTGCGCCCTCAGGATGTGCGGGGTGAAGGGGACACCTAGCGCCGGGCCCTGCAGGGGTCCCAGCCTCCTCGCCACGCTSGCGCCCAACAGTCAGGTGCGACCATCACGCGGCGCCCAGGGGCGGGGCCCAGCGCGAGGCGGAGTCTGCGCACGACTCGCGCTTGGGGGCCAGGCGCCGGGTAGAGCGTGAGGGACGTACCTCCGGCCAATGAGCGCAGAGAATGCGCGGAGGTGGGGCCAGGCTGTCGCGCGCAGGGACGCGGTTGGTCGGAGGGCTGCGGGGCGGGGCTAGGCGCACGACTCCGCCGACTCCAGGCCGAGGCCGGGCTAGAGGGCGGTGTCCAGGTCCCGGCGTCTGGGCTGTGGCTCCTCCTCAGGTAAAGGGCCGGCGGGAGTGCCTTCGGCGACGCTGAGGAAGCGCCCCTTCGGGTGTCTGAGCTGGAGAGCCTGGAGGTTGTCCCTTCTGCTGGGCAGAGCGCCAAGTCGAGTGGGGGCGCCACCCCAAGGTCAGCGACGAGCGCCGGGAGGTCCTGTTCTTCTCGGGCCGGGGCTCAGGTGCACCTACGGCCCTGCGGGACGGGCTTGGCCGCGTCGCTACCGGAAGAGACCTGGGAGCTGGCCACTTAATTCCTCYTGGGTCTGCTTCTTGGGAGGCGCGCGATCCGCGTCCATGTCCCTCCCGGAACTCGCCGGCCCCGGTGCCTGCCCTCCTGGGGAGCCTCTCTCACCGGCCCGGGTGCCTGCCCCTGCGGGGGAACTTAACTCGTTGGTCTCTGCCTGCCCTTGTGGCCTTCGGCCCTTGTCCCTACTTTCTGGGGTGGTCCATGTTTCTGTGGCCTACTGAGGGGTCTTTCAGAGGAGGTGTCCTTTCCTTTTATGCCTCTGAAGCTAAGCCTAAACCCTAGTGTTCCCAGTGCATTGGGGCCATAGTCTTTTAGTGTTTGATGATTTAGAGGCCATCTAGAGCAGGGAAGTGATTTGTCCAGAGTCAGGAGTGTCTACTAGTCTTACAGTGTGGGTCACAAAGCTGAAAGGGCTGTGGGGAGTCCAGCAACGAGGCCAAGGCTAGAGCTAGGTGATGCTTAGCTAGAACTGGCCCATGGGATTTGGGGTTCCTATTTTCCTGCAGTGTCAGTACAGCCGCAGTGCAGGGCTCATTTCTGCACATCTTACAGAGGTCCCCATTGCCAGCTCGGACTAGAGATTGGTCAGAGCCATAAACGCTAGTGCCATGAGGTCAGCATCAGGGGGTGAAGGAAGGAGGGCCTGGCAAGGAGAGCAGCCCAGCCTGGGGATGTGAACTGGAGCAGCTGTTGGGGTGATGGGCAGCTTAGAAGAGCTAGTCCAGGAGGCAGAGACCACTTTGGAAGGAGATGGTGGGGTGGTAGAAGTGGAGGAGGTGTGTGTGGGAGAGATGGAGGACCAGGGGCTGGTGGTATTGATTTCTGAACCAGATAGCTGAGTGGTGATAACTCAGGAAAGAAGCAGATGGGGTAGCAGTTGTGGGAGGTCAGGGGTGAAGATGGTGGGTTGAGCCTTAGAGCTGTGGGGCTTGAGTGGCCATGACCATCTGGAGGAGACCCTTAGTAGGCATATGGTCCTTGGTGAGGTGAAGTTGGGTTCCCCTCTGGGAATCATTGATGGTGGGTATTTCATGGGCATGTGTGCTAATGATGTGATTGACTGTACAGTCTCTGCACCCTGTAGGCTTGAGGATGCTGCTGTCTGCAGATCTTCTTTCCCACACCTCAGGTAAACAGGTGAACTTGGTCTCTGATGGGAATGAGGAATGACCTAGGGTTGAGCTGTCTTTGTTTTCTTGAAATAGATGTTCAGGCTGCTGTGGCTTTTCAGATCTGAATCTTGCTATACTTCTCTGTCCCCCAAGGTTGATTGCTGCTATCCTGTGGAACACTAGGGGGCAGAGGTGGAACTTTGGGGCATGTGCCTGCTCAAGTTCACAGCCATTGGTGTGTACTTGGAGAGGTAGATGTCTGTGCTTGCCCTTCTTTCCTAGGGTCCACAGAAGCCCAGGTGAGAAGCAGAGTTGCTGCTTTCTGTGATCAGCAACCCCAGGCCTTGGACCCTCTTTCTGTGAACTAAGTTGTTTGAGTGTAAGCATGTTCTCTGCCAGTGCAGCTCACAGAGTCTGATTCCCTTGGGGAGGGGCACCAGATGAGGCTCCCATGGCTCTTGTGAGCTCCTGGGAAGTGCTCGGAGAATGAGGGTTGATAAATCATGAGAATCATTCTTTCTTCACTGAACTAGAGGGCCACCTTGCTTGGGGAGTTGGTATGTGAACCCAGTGACATAGCTCCACTTGGATTATGTTGAGAAATTGTGTTCTTGGGGGTTGATAAGCAGTCACCCAGCCCAAGTTTGTGCTGGTGACTCTAGAAGTTGACTCTTCTCTGGCCCCTGTACTAGGGAAAAAGGGCCCTTGGACTCCATGTCTGGCTAGGGCAGTCCATGACCACCCATGTATGTCTGACCCTCCAGGCCAGCTCATCATAGCCTCTGGGCTGTGGTGTGCTTGCCTCCTCTGGGCTCAGTGCAGGTGAGGTAATACTTCTGTTGTGTCCACACATGCAGCAGCTGTAATACTCATGAGTGTTTTTTTTTTTTTTTTTTTTTTTTAGTACTGGGGAATGAACCCAGGAGAACTCTACCACTGAGCTTTTCATTTTTTATTTTGAGAGTCCTGCTAAGTTGCTGAGGCTGGCTTTGAACTTGTTATCCTGCTTCAGCCTCCCAAGTTGCTGGGATTATAGGCCTCTGCTGCTGTCCTGGGTTCCTGTGAGTCCTTTTTGTGGCAAAGAGAGCCCTCATACAAGGACTCTGTGGGCCTCAGACAGGGCCAAGTGGGCATTTACTAAATGTGGAACCGAGAGGACACAGCTTCATCATTCATGTAAGAGTGCCATTCTGTAGGAGGACAGGCCCCATCAACTCGACCTCCTGCCTCTTCTTCCATAGTTTTGTTTTATTTTTTTAAATTCACCCATACCCATGGTGGGCATCTGGTGGTTTTTCTTTCTTTCTTTCTTTTTTTCTTGTGGTGCTGGGGAGTGAACCAGGGCTTTGTGCATGCGAGGCAAGCACTCTACCAACTGAACTATGTCCCCAGCCCTATTTTTCTTAACATGTCTGTACATTTCTTGATATCTGTGCACTAGTGTGAGGGTCTCTGTTGAGAGATGTGAAAAAGTTCTGGGCCATCTGGCTTGAGTGGCCTTTCCTCTGGCTCTGCCAGGGGTACTAGCACCCAGCATCCCTGTCCTTATGACTTCGGATGCTCTTGGAACCTACCACGTGCCTGGCTTCTCTCCAAGTCAGAGTGTGACTAGAGGTCCTGATCATCAGCACTTGTACACGGTGGAGGGGCCCAGGGAGATTCTATGTGGGCTGATGGCTGTGCCACAGTCCCATAAGGTGTCTGCTTGCAGCACTGAGTCCTTGACTGACCGTTGTACCACACTGTCCCTCTGCTCTGGAAAGGGAGGATGGAGCTGTTGGTCTGAAGGAGTGATCAGCACAGCCTCCATTTATCTGTGGGCTATTTCTCCTAAGAAATCCTATATGTTCTTTGCCCTTWTTCTTGTTTGTCTTAGTAATGCACAAACTCCTTTGCATATTATATTAGGAAAATAGTCTTGTCATGTATATTATGAATGATTTGTCCTGCATTGTCTATAATTTGGCCAGTATCACTCCCAGCACTTCCTCCCTCCCTCTCTACCTTCTACCCACTGGTCTTTGTTGGTTGGTTTGGTATCAGGGATTGAACCTGGGGAACTTAACCACTGAGAGAGGGGGGG